AACCAGGGTTTCTGGAAAACCAAAATCTCAGGAAACCAAGTCCCCGAATTCGATCCAGAAATTCTTTACAAATACGTCTGTCGTGTAGAGCAAACATTTTTGAAGAAGATGAGACGTCTCCGAGCTCTTTGCGACATATTTTGATGAAACAGCATTCAATTTAAGAAAGATCCCGTACCAGCAAAACTAATCGGAAAACATGGCTTAGTGTCTTCCGTAAATTGAATGGTGTTTCATCAAAATATGTCGCAACGAGCTCGGAGACGTCTCATCTTCTTCAAAAATGTTTGCTCTACACGACAGACGTATTTGTAAAGAATTTCTGGATCGAACTCGAGGACTTGGTTTTCTGAGATTTTGGTTTTCCAGAAACCCTGGTTTCAACAGTTTTGATAGAACCATTTTATACAGCAGCCCAGGTCGGAAATTCTTTCAGTTGTTCAAATCCTTTTTCAAATTTGTTCTAGCTATTATGGGCACAATTCTATCGTAATAAACAAAAAAAGTGGTCCATATATGGACCACCGCCCGTCAAAGGGTTAATAGCTAAAGCAGAGTATACCTTTCCTTCTATAGTTTCTGTTTGCATTTCCAAAGGATGTACATAGGATATTTTAGCATTTTCTAAATTACGCATTAAATTTTTCGCTGTAACTGAATTCATTAAAAAACCAATATTCCCGGAATTGACTCCGAAAAAAGGAATCTCTAAATCCATATGGCGATGTATAGCATGTAGTAATTCTCCATCTCCCCCTACTACAGCTATTACTTCTGCCTCTTCCAGAGAGCAAAATTGATATAGCTGTTGTAATTGTTTAACTAATTCTAACGTTTTAGGAGAATTATTGTGAGTAATTGCTACTTTATCTAGATTAATCTTAATCTTTGCCAACATAAATATAATAAATGATTAATAATTAGTATTACAAAACAAGAGGCTAATACGTCACTAATAAAGTGCCCTCCCATTAATATACGACTTAATCCCACTAGAGAACCTAAAATTAAAGCAGAGCTATAAATTCTGGTGAAAAATATAGGAGAAAAAATATAGGCTAGGCACGTAAAACTATAACCCATGGCTGCATGCCCTGATGAGAAAGAGCAATTATGGTCACACTCCTTGCTAATCCAAAAAGCCTTAGTAAAATTCTTTGTACTATTAAAATTAGTAATTTGTGTGGGTCGAGCCCTGCCAAAATTATCTTTAAATATATGGTTTACTAATAAACCAGGACCTATAGCAATGGAGAGTATTACATAAAAACTCCAAGAAAATATAATTTTATTGAAAGTTTTATCCCGAATGATCAAATAAAGTATGTATAATAACGTTACTATAAATAATGTAATCGTAAAGATAGGAATAATCACAAAGCATAATTTTACCAGTGCATTATTGCGATAAGAGAATCCTTCTGAGCTATTATAAAATAAGTTAGAAAACTCTATATCAATATGCGGGAATAATATAACTAATAGTAAAATAGTACCAGAGAGAGAGATACTAGCGTATACTAATCGTGTATTAATCATAGACGGAAGACCTAGAATAAGTTATAAGAGAAAAGAGGCTTTATTTTGAGTATTATATAATCAAGGTTCCCTCTCTATAGGATAATACAAATAATATTAGAATAATAATATAGAAGTTAATATGTCATTCAACCTTAAAAACTACAAAAATGATCTGCTATTTTTACCACTTGGAGGAGCAAATGAAATAGGCATCAATGTTAATTTGTATCATTATAAAGGAAAATGGTTAATGGTTGATTGCGGAAGCGGCTTTGCAGATGATTATTTGCCAGGGGTTGATATGGTAGTTGCTGATATCCGTTTTATAGAAAAATACAAAAATGATTTAGTCGGATTAGTCCTGACGCATGCCCATGAAGATCATTTAGGTGCTGTTCAATATTTATGGAGTAATCTAAGGTGTCCAATATATGCTACAACTTTTACAGCAAATTTTCTAAAACTAAGATTAGCTGAATATGATTTTACTAAAGATATTAAGATTTATACGGTAAGCCCTGCGGCTAAAATAGATCTGGATCCTTTTCAGCTAGAAATGGTACCATTAACTCACTCCGCTCCAGAAATGCAAGCACTTATGATCAGAACAGAAGCGGGAAATGTTCTGCATACAGGGGATTGGAAATTTGATGAGGACCCAGTGCTTGGAGAAAAAGTGGATGAAGAATTATTAAAATCTTACGGGGATGAAGGCGTTCTAGCGTTAGTTTGCGATTCGACGAACGTATTTAATGAAGGCGTCTCGGGATCTGAAGGAACAGTACGAAAAAGTTTAGTAGATATTATAGCTGGCTGCCCTAAAATGGCAGTAGTAACAACCTTTGCCTCAAACTTAGCACGGCTTGATACTTTAATTCATGCAGGTCAACTTGCCGGGAGAAAAGTTGTATTAACAGGAAGAAGTTTACACAGAATTTTACAAGCGGCTCAGGAAAGTGGTTATATGCAAGATATTTTACCATTAGTGGATGAGCGTGATATAGCGAGATTTAAAAGAGAAGAGTTGTTAATTATTGCCACTGGTTGTCAGGGGGAACCACTAGCTGCTACTGCTAAAATGGCTAATAATAGTCATCCCAACGTCAAGTTAGCTCCAAAAGATACTATTATCTTTTCTTCAAAAATTATTCCGGGGAATGAAAAGAAAATTTTCCGCTTATTTAATATCTTCGTAAGGTTAGGGGTTGAAGTAATTACAGAACGAGATCATTTTGTGCATGTTTCTGGTCATCCTGCTATTGAAGAGCTTAAACGTATGTATCAACTTGTCAGACCGCAAATTTGTGTACCCGTACATGGAGAGCCTGTGCATATCCACGAGCATGTAAAATTAGCGCGTAAAAATGGGATAAAACAGGCGGTTGAGGTAGAAAATGGTAGTGTATTATTACTTGATGCTTATAATCCACAAATTATAGCGAAAGTAGAAACAGGATATTTGGCTGTTGATGGCAACTATCTTTTACCTACTGAATCACCAATTTTTAAGATGCGTCGTCGGCTACGAGAAGCCGGGGTAGCGGTTATTTCGTTATTAATTAATAGAAAAGGGAGGTTAAGTTGTAGACCAATTGTCACAATGCCTGGTCTTCTCGATCTTAATGACGATGCTCAGTTAATTAATATTATAAAAGATGGTATTGCTAACGTTATAGAAGTGCAAGCGCAGTCGATTAAAGGTAAAATATTTAATGAACAAATTGAAAGTGCTGTAAGATCTTTTATACGGAAAACGTTAAAACAGGAGATCAATAAAACTCCAATTATCATAATTAATATAGAGCAAGTTAGAGATTTAGGAATACAGTAAATTAACATAAACCAGGGCACTGTCGCTGCTCCCCTAGTGGTTCTAAACTTCGCTGTGCTTCTATAGCCAAAGGGTGACACTTGCATTTAAAGGTGAGGTTGCGCAGCGTATAGATAATACGTGAGCAAAACCGAGCCCTGCAAAATCAAGTGTCATCAACTAAATACCGCAGGCTATAACTTCTTAATTCATCTTATTTACTATAGTTCATCCTAGATGCTGTGAAGAGAATTTGTATCGCTTGGAAGAGTAGTATAGTCAAGTTAGGAGAATTTGGTGCTAGGCGCGATGGAGCGACGCCTATAGATAATAGGCGAGCGACGAGTAACGACGTCACCAACTTCTCATCAATTGACTATAGTATAAGTAGCCTAACTAGTGTTTTATACTATGCTTGGATAATGTAGTTGATAGTATTTTATAGCTTGGCTTAAATCTGCTTCCGTATCAACAGAAATAGGAATGCTATTAACATAACATACCCCTATAGTCATATCATTTTCTAAGGCTCTGAGTTGCTCCAGATTTTCACTTTGTTCTAAAGAAGAAGGAGGTAGTTTTACGAATTGATGTAACGCTTTTTTACGGAAACCATAAATCCCTATATGATATAAAAATTCCCGAGAACCATAAGGAATTAAACTACGAGAGAAGTATAACGCTCTATTATTATTACCCGTAATGACTTTCACATTGCTATTGCTATTGGCAAATTGTAAGTCAACTTTTGCAACTGGTGTCACTATATCATAACTACTATTTTTTAGATTTTCAATAACCGACATAATGATCTTCGGTTCTATAAAAGGCATATCGCCTTGCACATTAAGGATATAATTAATATTATGGTTATCGGGAATTCGCTGGAGTGCTTCATATACCCTGTCGGTACCCGAAGTACAGCTAGGCGGTGTAAAAATAAATTGGTCACCACGGCTAGTAACTTTTTCTGCAATCTCATTTGAATCTGTGGCAACAAAAATATTTTTTAAGCCAGTAGTTTGTACTTGGCTTAGCACATGCTCTATCATAGTAATATTTCCAATCAATTGCAGAGGTTTTTTAGTAAGTCTTGTGGAGTTGAGTCTTGATGGAATAATAATTACTACGTCTGAGTGCATGGTCTCTAATTAGTAAGTTAGTGGTTTTATAGTAAGTAAAGAAGATTTAGGAGTACAAAATAGAAAAATAATAGTTGACATAGTAGGCTTTTTACACGATAAAGTAAAGCATAATCAACACAGTTCTTAGAGTCATTAAGAACAGTATTATTGGGTTCGTAGCTCAGCTGGTAGAGCACTTGACTTTTAATCAGGGGGTCCCGGGTTCGAGTCCCGGCGAACCCACCATTTCAGGGTATTTACTTAGTACTTTTCTGGCATGCTGGGAAACATGCGGTTTCGCAATAGACTTCCTGCATAAGTCATTAGTCGGTAATTTTACTGTCGAAACTCGCCTCCGCTCCTCAGGTATGTCTATGTACGCTGCGGTGCTTGGCTTTGTTTCTCTTAAAAATTCCAAAAGCTATCTTTGACTTAGAAGTCTAATAGTCTAATGGGTTTGTAGCTCAGCTGGTTAGAGCACACGCCTGATAAGCGTGAGGTCGGAAGTTCAAGTCTTCTCAAACCCACCATTTTTAAGTATTTACTAGAGGAACTTGTACAATAGAGCCTTTTTGAAAGAGACCTAATATTTTGCTTGCTCATTTAAGTTATAATAAATTAACTGCTTATTGGCTTAAAAATGGCATCTTTGCCTTTATTCTTTCTGCTATTTATTTAATCCTGATAGTATCTTTGCTTACTCCTGTAGGGAGTAATTTATTTGCAACTACAGAAATTTTCAGATCAGCGTTGGTCATTCACACTAATTTGTCTATTCTTGTGTGGTTTTTATCGAGTACTGCTGCTATTTGGAGTTATAAGTTACAATCCTCCCATTTTACTATAACTTGTGTAATATTAGCATTTATTTCTACGGTGCTAATAACTTTATCCTTAATTGGTGGGCAAAACTTTTCGGTAATGAATAAACATATTCCGATACTAGAAAATATTTTGTTTATATTAGGTTTGAGTTTATTTGGGGTCACTATATTATTATTCGCGTTTTATACTCTATATCATACTGTTTTATATTTTAATAGCTTGAGTAATGGTGATCAGTTAATTGAATTCACGATTTTGTCTACGGCAATATTGTTTCTGTTATCCTGCGTATGTTTTACTATATCCTATTTACAGTTAAAAGAGGTGATTAAGTTGGCAGAGATAAGTATAGACTTTTACTATGAATTACTATTTTGGAGTGGTGGGCATTTATTGCAATTTCTTTATAATCAAATTCTTATTTTAGTATGGGTGATTTTATTCTATAGCTGTATAAGTAGAGAATTAGAATATAATAAGCACTATTTAGGGTTATTAGCTTTTAATTTTATTATAGCCCTAGCTGCCCCTTGGGGACATCTATTATATAATATTCTAGATAATGGTTTTAAGGAATATTATGTAGGGTTAGTGAAATATGGTGCTGACATTGCCCCTGCACTGGTCCTGGTATTGATGTTATATGATTTTATTACAGGCTCAGCGAAAACCGATGTAAAAAATAATGAGATAAAAAAGTACGTTACTAAGCTTACTCTAATATGCTCAGGCATATTATTTTTATTGGGGAGAGCTATAGAGTTATTAACTACTAGTGCTAATGCCTTAACTATTGGTTATTATCAGGCTTCAGCTATAGGAATTACCGTAGCATTTATAGGTTTATGGCAGGCATTATATCGAATTCGGGTTAACTAATTTATAAAATTGAGAAGGCAGAGCAGTATTAATTACTATTTCTTGCCCAAATACTTGTTCTGGTAATACTATTGTTTTTGCGTGTAATAGCATTGTAGGAGATAGATTAATTGCTTCTGGAGTACCATATTTTCTATCTCCTATTATTGGGCAGTTGAGCATTTTAGCATGAAATCTAAGCTGATGCATTCTGCCCGTAAGGGGGATCAATTCTATCAAGGATATTTTAAGGTTACTTACGGAAGTAGTTCCTAGCCCCTCTAATAACCGATAGTAAGTTATCGCGAGTTTTCCATTCTTTGGATCATCTTGTACAGTTTCATACACCCCTCCTCTATTTTTGCCTATTCTACCTGAAATTTCTCCTTCACTTTGTATAAGATTGCCTAAAACCACAGCAAGGTAAGTTTTTTGAATAATTTTTTCGTGAAAAGATTGTCCTAATTTTATGCTACTAGAGTAATTTTTGGCTATTAATAATATACCCGAAGTATCTTTATCTAATCTATGTACTAATTTAAATTCATTCCCTCTACTATTCAAATATTGGAGAGCATCGTCAATTGATAAGTTAATTTTACTTCCACCTTGGGTAGCAATACCCGCTGGCTTATTAATAGCAATCAAATGGTCATCTTGGTAAATTAAATAATCGTTTAATAGCTTACTTGCTAATATAATCGCTGACTTAGAAAAACTTTTATCAAGGATTTTTTGCGGTTCAAAGCGAAGAGTTGGAGCTATAAATATCTTATCTCCTCCTGTGACTTTAAAACTTGCTTCTGTCTTACGTGCGTTAACCAAAATCTTTTTAAGGCGTAAGCTGCGCTCAATTATTCCTTGAGTAAGGTCAGGATATAGTTTTTTTAAGTAACGATCTAACCGACATGGTAATGCGGTAGCTACCTCCAATATTGTCATACTTTATTTAGTCACTTCTGTACTCTTTAATAAAAAATAGCACCATGATATACAAGATAATAATATCACAGAAAAAACTTGGTGTATTAAGGCTATTAAGACTGGCCTAGAATATAGGATTAGGATTATGCCAGCTGCCATTTGCAATGTTAATATAGTAACTATACTATATGCAACTTTCTTGAGTTTAAGATGAGCTGTGGTTAATAGACTGCTTACTAAAAATATTATGCTAACGCAAATAACGTATGCTCCTATTCTATGTATAAATTGAACAAAGGCCGGATTACTAAAGCTTTGTAAATTAAGCGCATTAAAAGTTATTTCTTCAGGGATAAAACTATTACCCATTAAGGGAAAAGTATTATATATCAAACCTGCATCAAGCCCAGCCACTAACCCCCCTAAGATAATTTGAAAATACAATAATAGAAGAGTGAGGAAGCACCAAAATTTTTGAATACTTAATTTGGTTCCATAAGGAATGAGTAATATATCACAATAATTCTGCATTAGCTGATAGAATAACAAATTATAGATAATTACAGCAACAACTAAATGACAACTTAAGCGAAAATGACTTACATATGGATGTAAGATAAGGCCGCTTTTTACCATATACCACCCTATAAATCCTTGCACCAAGAATAGTATTAATATTATTAAATATATCAGTATTGTTTTTCTATCAATTTGCTTATTTACCAACAAATATAATAATGGTAATAAATATAACAAACCGGTAAGCCTAGCAGCTAAACGGTGAATAAATTCAAGCCAAAAAATAAACTTAAATTCTGTAAGCTGCATCTGAATATTACGTTGCTGATATTCCGGAAATTGTTGATATTTTATAAACTCAGCCTGCCATTGCTCATGATTAAGTGGAGGGATAACCCCCGCTACAGGTTTCCATTCAACAATGGATAATCCAGAATCAGTAAGTCTAGTGATCCCGCCTAGAAAAATCAATAATAACACCATTAAGCAACATAAGGTTAACCAACACTTGATTGATAATTTTTGTTGTAACATTATTTGTACATTTTAATAACACTTTAATAAGACATTCTATTGATAAATTTGCAGTAAATATACCGAATTTATAGTATCATCTGCCCCTAGCTTTTGCTTCTTTCTTATCCCTTTTTAGGAAACTTTGCGACTAACCCTGTCCTGGCCTGTAAAAAGCGCTTTATAAGCTGCTTAATTTTATTTTCTGTAGCTTTACTTGCCGGTTCTTCGACTTTAATCGGATATTTTTTAGCTGCAGGAGCATTATATACTAGCTGCAATTCTTCTGCATTTAATATATTTTCAGTCCCGAACTTTCCATTTTTTAGTTTTTTAATTTCTTGAAGCACTCGATTACCATCTATAGTACCACTGTTAAGGTGATATCCTGCTTTAACTACGCTCTCATGCATAATATGCCTCTAGAAAAACATTTACTTATATATTATACCTTGTCTCAAACATATTCTAGTAATCTTAACGCAAAAGGTTAATATTAATTAAGGCAACTTATAATTTTACCGCACACTACCTCTATGTCCAACTCTTCTATATTACCAGTTTTACGGTTCTTTAGCTCGACGATGTTTTTTATCGCGCCTTTAGGACCGATAATTACTTGATACGGGGAGCCTATCAAATCGTGGGTTGCAAATTTACTCCCCACCCTCTCTTCAGTATCATCATATAATACTGTGATATTATTGGTTTTTAACTGAGCATATAAGTTTCGTGATAATTCATTACATTTACTATCCAATATATTCAAATTTAGTATTGAGACACAAAAAGGGGCAATATTTATAGGCCTTATGATACCCTTATCGTCATGGCTAGCTTCAATAATAGCAGCTACTAACCTAGAAATACCAATACCGTAAGAACTCATTTCTATTGGTACCAAATTACCATGCTTGTCATTTACTACTGCGTTCATTACTTTTGAATATTTGCTGCCAATATAAAAAATATGCCCTACTTCAATGCTCTTACTACTAGCCAGCTCTTCGGGAGCTAAAGAGCATTTAGTTGGATCGTGTTTTTCTTCTGCTACTGCATATAAAGACTGTATTTTTTCAATATCTAAACTTTTAGAATTAATTAAATTTAAGAATTTTTTATCATAAAAAATAGTACTCTCACCATTTTCTGTTTGAATATGAAACTCATGACTCAAGTTACCTCCTATAGGCCCATTATCCGCTAATACTGGAATAACATTAAGCCCTATATCACGAAAAGTTTGTAGGTAAGCAAGGTACATATTATTATAGTGCTGCACCGCACTAGCTTGATCTATATCAAAAGAATAGGCATCTTTCATTAAAAATTCTCTAGCGCGCATCACGCCAAATCTTGGCCTAATTTCATCACGAAATTTCCACTGAATATGGTATAGATTTTTAGGTAAATCTTTGTAAGACTTAATATTATTCTTAAAAATCTCAGTAATCATGTCTTCATTAGTAGGCCCAAATAATAGGGTATTATCATGTCGGTCCTGAAATTTTAACATTTCCTTCCCATAATTTTCAAATCTGCCTGATGCTATCCACAAGGAAGCTGGCTGAATGCAGGGCATTAATATCTCAAGACTACCTACCTTATTCATATTGTGATTAACAATATTGATAATATTTTGTAAGACCTGTAAACCCAAAGGTAACCAACTATAAATGCCAGACGCTTGTCGTCTGATCATTCCACTTCTTAACATTAAGCGATGAGAAATCACTTGCGCTTCTGCGGGCAATTCTTTCAAAACAGGTAAAAAATATTTAGATAATAACATGAGGGCCCTTGGTTATTTTTTGGAAACTATATTTAAGAACTCGTGACGATATTTTTGCTGCTCCACAAAGATGCCAGTGTAATGCATAGTATTCATTACCGTATCATTTTTCATGACTCCTCTAAGAGTCATACAGCTATGCAGTGCCGAAATTTTGACTGCAACCCCTAAAGGCTTAACATATTTTTGTAAAGTTTCAGCAATTTGAACCGTTAGCTTTTCTTGGATTTGTAATCTCCTAGCAAACACTTCTACTACTCTTGCTAGCTTACTAATTCCTATAATACAATTATCTGGTATATAAGCGATATCTACCGTACCAGATATCGGTAACAAGTGATGCTCACAAAAAGAATTAAAATTTATATCCTTTAATAAAATAAAATCTTGAAAATTACAGGTATCATAAAATTTAGTAGTCAATATATCTTCTACATTTTGCTCATAACCAGAAAATATTTCTTGATAGCTTTTTATTACTCTCTCAGGAGTTTTAAGTAAACCTTCTCTATCTGGGTCTTCGCCAATAAACCTTATTAAGGTTTTTACCGCTTCTTTTGCTTCTATTGCAGAAGGTTTGTTAATAATCATATTTTTCTATTGAATTACTACAAGGTCTGAATGTATATTGCTTATATTTTAAGAATTACAAAATGCCTTTTTACCATAAATAATAATAAACATCAAGCTCTCAACTAGAGGACCCATGTACAGTAGTGATAAATTCAACAATCAACTATACTATTCACTTTGCCGAATTGTTTTTGTATTTTATCGTGAACTCGCGTACTTATATGTACGCTGTACGCTCGCCCCTCGAAATAAAATCCAATTCTTGAAATTCATTGGATATATATAGAATTGAGGTAAATTATAGGAGTATATTATGTCATCTAAAATAATTTCTTACAATAATATTGGTCCTAATATTGATAAAGAAGCTTACATTGCTGATAATGCTTGCATAATAGGAGATGTAATTATAGGTAATAAATCGAGTGTTTGGTATAATTGTGTGCTAAGAGGAGATGTAGCACCGATTAGAGTAGGGTGTAATACCAATATCCAAGATGGAACTGTCATCCATACTTCTAGATTCAATGGGCCAGTACTGATTGGAGATAATGTTACTATAGGACATTGCTGTCTTATCCATGCTGCCACTATAGAGAATAACGCGTTTATTGGAATGAGAGCTACTATTATGGACTATTCTATAATAGAACCGTATGGATTTGTGGCAGCTGGTAGTTTAGTGACTCCCAACAAAACTATAAAATCAAAAGAACTATGGATGGGATCTCCCGCTAAATTCTCTCGATATTTAACAAGCCAAGAATTAAAAACGATGTTAGATAATACGGTAAACTATGTTAATCTTACTAGGGATTACTTACGTCACCTCAATTCGAGATAGGAGGATGATATCATCCTATCTCGACTAAAAGTTGTGTTAGTGTTAAATGGCTAACTATACTCTATGGTTAAATACTTTGAACTTCAAAACCGATGCAGCAAAGCTCAAGGACATATATAATGTCCTTGCTTTTATCTTGTTTATGTTCCTATTGTAGTAGTTCCACATTTAGATGCAGCTGTATTAGTTCCAGCTACCATATCTACAATGTCCGGTGCTTTGAATAATATTATTATTCCTGTAACAATTATTAAAGCTACTTCCCATTTTAATTGTCCTCTAAGGGTTTGAATACCTAAGACAACTACCCCTACGATTGCTATACCTCTGGCTGTGTTACCACGAAATATTTTAACTAAATTGCAAAATACTGTACCAACCGGATCCTTATCAGTAGCAGTAGCGAGAGCGTCATTTGCTGTGATAATCAGAGCAATACTACAGAATACAAGAAGCAGACGCCATATTATAGTGTTATCAAATTGTTCCCCACAGAATCTATCCTTCATAATTTTACCTCTATTTAAACTAGCTTCTTCCATGAAGCAAATTTTATCCATTCCTAACTGGTCATTCAAGTGTTAATATAGTATTTAATAATCTTTACTAGGTAATTAACTGAAAATTACTACTTACGTGCTGTTTTAGTCACAGATTAAATACTATATTAATCGCGGCTAGGTTGAACGGGAGTAGAGCAGCACCTTATTGCTCTCTTATCTTCCTAAAATATATACGAAAACAAATAAAAACAGCCATATTACATCGACAAAATGCCAGTACCAAGCAGCAAATTCAAACCCTAAAATATTTTTCCCTTTAGCAAAATCTCCTCTTTTAGCTCTAAAATAACAAATACTTAAAAATATTGTACCTATTATCACATGGGCTCCATGAAAACCAGTAGCCATATAGAAGTTAGAAGGGTATATTCCATCTTTAAAGCCAAAAGCAGCATGATGATATTCATACCCTTGCATTAAGCTAAATAAGATTCCTAGTAATATAGTATATTTAAGAGCTTGCAAACAATCTTTTTGGTTATTTTCTTCCAGAGCATAATGAGCCCAAGTTACAGTTGTGCCTGATAATAAAAGTATTAATGTATTAATAAAAGGAATATCAAAGGGATCAAAGGTTTTAATAGAGGTTGGAGGCCATATGCCAGGTTTGATTACCCAAACTCCTTCTAATATTCCCGCTGGAAAAAAGCTTGTTTTTAAGAAGGAACTAAAAAATACAGCAAAAAATGCTATTTCGGTTAGAATAAATAGAGCCATACCTATTCGTAATCCAGTTTTAACTTCTCGAGTATGACATTTTCCTACTAACCCTTCTCTGATGATTTCTCTCCACCAAGAATATAAGCAATAAATTACTGAGCAAATACCCAGAGCTAAAACATATCCCCCAAATTTATAACTATGCATAAACATTATTATTCCAGCCGACAAAAGTAATAAAGCAAAGGAAGTTAAAATTGGTAAGGGGCTAGGATCAACAATATGAAATGGATGTGACTTTCTTGGTAAAACAGTAAAATTATTATTATCAATAGTTTGATTGAACATATATAACTCATTAAAAAATTAAAGTATAGCCTGCGGTATTTAGTTGGTGACACTTGATTTTGCAGGGCTCGGTTGTGCTCACGTATTATCATACGCTGCGCAATCTCACCTTTAAATTCAAGTGTCACCAACTAAATCACTTTGGCTATACCTTCAGCGGGATAGGGCAAGAATTTATTCTAAAAGAAGTGTAATAGACCTCTTTCTTGGCTCGTATCGCCCAGGGAATTTGAAGGACATTCCTCGCTCTAAACTGCAGCGTACGTGAGGATTTGAGCCTAGATCGACATGTAAATTACCGCTTGATACGATCCAAGAAAGAGGTCTAATCTAAAAATCTGAAATATTGATACTAGTAGATACCTGTCCTGTAAAATTTATAAGCATATTATTGTTGGTAGAGCTAAAATTATTAGCCTTAAGCTTAGAATTTTTAAATAATACTACCACCCCTGCCTCACTGAAAGCTTCTCTATCTAAGAAATTTAGTTGAGCTTTTGGGGTTGTTAAAATACCGTCTCCTAATAGAAATTGTACATTATTTTGTAATTCTAATACTTGCGTTATCTCATTTAATATACCATCTTTGGCGCTTACCACTAACTCCTCCTCATTAGTTATTTTGTATTTAGCAGCAATTTTTTCTAATAAATAATTATTATCTACAGTTCTCATAGCCGTAGCAGTGCTAATTTGGTAGGGATTTAGATTCTCATTAACTCCATTAAAAGTAGAGTTTAAAATTTTTATCGCATAATCAGCTTGCTCTTCTGTACCGATACTTTTTTCTTCGGGAAGATTTTCCTTTTGTTGAAGATCAATAGTGCTAACTGGGGGTTTTGAATTTATATAAATAAAATATAAAATCACTAAAACTCCTAAAAAAGTTAAAATTTTCGATAAGCTATTTAAACGTTTGTATCGAACATATTTATGTAAAATTGTAGTGTTAGAAATACTATTTATCATCAATTAATTCCTGCTCGCAATAAATCATGAATATGAATAATACCAACTACCTTTTCCTTTTCGACTACAGGTAGGCTAGTAATCGATTTACTATTCATTATAGCTAACGCCTCTGCTGCTAATTTAGCGGGTGAGATTTGTTGTGGGTGAATAGTCATTACATCACCTGCATATTTCATCTTTATTGTGTCATTAATATGCCTGCGTAAATCTCCATCTGTGATAATACCAATGAGCTGTAAATCTTTATCTACTACTACAGCGCACCCCAAAGCTTTTTGATTCATAATTAATATTGTATCCGTAAAAGAGGTTTTGTTGTATACCAAAGGTAGTTGATCATCTATTCTCATTAAGCTTTCTACTTTTATCAGATTTGTACCAATTTTGCCACCAGGATGATAGACATAAAAATCTTCTGCAGAAAAACCGCGTGCTTCATGTACTGCGGTAGTCAATGCATCGCCAAGGGATAACATCATTAATGCAGAAGTTGTAGGCGCAGCAATATCAGCAACCTCTTTAATTTTTGGTAATAGCAACAAAAAATCACTGCTACTAGCTATCGTTGAATTTGCATTCATCGTCATAGCTACTATTTTGATTGAAAACCTCTTACAATATTTCATTATGTCAAATAATTCTCTTGTTTCTCCTGAATTAGACAACATAAATAGTAGGTCACCTTCCGTTACCATCCCAAGGTCTCCATGGCTAGCTTCTGCAGGATGTAAATAAAAGGCCACAGTACCAGTAGAAGCAAAACTTGCTGCTATTTTATGGGCAATATACCCACTTTTTCCTATGCCAGTTAAAATAATACGTCCTTTAAAGTTGATAATATGCTCTACTACTTTACTAAAATCATTAGGTAAGTTATTCAATAATTCAATTAATGCTTCAGACTCTTTTAATATAACTCTTTTAGCAACATTAGCATGGAGGGGCATTTTATATCTAAATTAGGTTTTTTACTTAGGATTGTAAGTCGATTTAAAGAAGTATACATAATCTAATTCACTAATTGCAAGATTAATTAACAGGGATTATAAATATGTTAATTTTATCGAAGATGGTGTAGAATAAAGAATTGCAAAAATTGTTCAGAAGGAACAAAATCAAAGAATAAGGAGCTATAATTTAATATCAACACTGGAGAAGATAAGATGGCTGAAGAAGAACTAGGGGGAAAATATTAGCACAAATATGTACAATATAAGTTTAAAAGATAAAGCGCAACTAATAACTGTTGGTAAACTACGATCCATACCATTAGGAGCTCCTAATTCTTCCATACCATCTCCTAGCAGAAAAAATTCTAGTGAACGTAGTGGTCCATCAACTTCAGGATGATTAATATAACAGCATGCCCCCTGTAAAAAAATATCATAACTACGATCTAATAATTATTGGAGCTGGTGGATCAGGTTTGGCTGCTGCTATTTATGCGGCTAAAAATGGGTATAAAGTAGCAGTAATTAGTAAAGTACACCCGATGTATAGCCATACTGTTGCTGCGCAAGGCGGTATTAACGCGGCGCTTGGTAATATTACTCCAGATGATTGGCGTTGGCATGCTTATGATACAATAAAAGCTGCTGATTGGTTGGCAGATCAAGATTCTGTTGAAATAATGTGCCAGCAAGCAGTTAACGCGATCAAGATGCTAGATGAGATTGGCGTGCAATTTAATAGGCGTCGTGATGGCCTTATTGATCAAAAAATTTACGGAGGGCAAAGTACTCATTATGGCTCAGGCGAATTAGCATACAGAGCTTGTTACTCAGATGATCGGACCGGTTCTTCTATCATGAATAAATTATATAACATCGCTGCCACTTTAGATAAAATAACTTTTTTTAATTATAATTTTGCTATTGAATTAATAATGCAGGATAATAAATGTTATGGGATAGTAAGCTGGGATATAGAGCATGGTTTACTAAATATAATCTACAGTGCTAATACTATCATTGCCACTGGCGGCTATAGTCAAATTTATGATACCTCAACTTCATCAGCAATTTGTACGGGTGATGGTAATGGCTTGGCGGTAAAAGCAGGGATTAACTTACAGGACATGGAATTTGTTCAATTTCACCCAACTGCTATTAATCAGATTGGAGTATTGATCACTGAAGCTGCCCGGTCCGCAGGGGGTATTTTACTTAACAGCCACAATCAGCGTTTTATGGTGAAATATGCCCCTAAATTTATGGAGCTAGCATCAAGAGATATAGTGGCACGAGCTATTGCTACGGAAATAGCTTTAGGGGCAGGGTGTGGGGTGCATCAAGATCATGTACTGCTTGATTTAACTCATTTAACGGCTGAATACATTAAAAATAATTTGCCCACTGTTTTTGAAAATTGTCAACTTTTCTTAAAAATAGATCCAAGTAAATCCTTAATCCCAATTGCTCCTGCTGCTCATTATACTATGGGAGGGATTCCTACTAATAAATTTTGCCAAGTAGTAAAATTTGCTCAAGAGGAGCTGTTAGTTGAAAGTCTGTATGCAATAGGAGAGGGTGCCTCTACTTCAGTCCATGGTGCTGGTAGACTGGGTTGTAATTCTTTACTTGATTTAATAGTGTTTGCTAGATTAACGGTTGAAAATCTTGTAAATAAGGCTGATCCTGCTACTCCTAGGAAAAATTTTTCTAATAGCGAGGTGGTAGAAGCTATAGTTAATAGATTTTTAGGACATTTTAATGGCAAGCAAGAAAAAGCTCATACATTAAAGCAGGAGCTAAAATTACTAATGCAAAAAAATGTGGGGGTATTTAGGTCGCACAATAATTTGCTTGAAGCAATAAAAGCTTTTGATAATATTAAACAAGTCTATAATAATAGTGGAGTACAGGATAGTTCGCTATTATGGAACAGTGAACTACAGGCCTATTTAGAAGTAGGGAATATGATTGTTTCTGCAGAAGCAACTATATATTCCGCTCTGTGGCGCTGTGAGAGTAGAGGGGCCCATTGGCGCAATGATTACCCAGGTAGGGATGACCGCAATTTTTTATATCATACCATTTATATTAATCATGCTAGACGGTATAGTAGGCGGGCAGTTCGACAATCAATTGATAATACAGAGCTTTTTAGACCAACCAATAGAAACTATTAATTATAAATTTAATAATAAGCTGAAATAAAGTGAAAAAACTTTTATTATATATAGTATGTGTATACTCTAGCATTGCTATAGCGAGTGAGGCTAAATTCTCTAATAAACTAAATCGCTGTAAGGTTAGTAAAAGCGTAATGAATGATTATGAACCCGAAGAGTTTCAACCTGGGAATAATTTACTGCGAAAAACAGGACAAGAAGCAGCATATAGTGGAACAAAAATAATAGTAAAAGGGACATTGTTAGATCAAAATTGTGTGCCTATATCAGACGCAAAAATATATTTATGGCACGTTGGAAGCGATGGAAAATATCCGTATAAGCCATTGCGAACAAGGGTTAACAAAAATATGTTTACCTGGACTAATAGTTCTACTTTTACTGGTTCTGGCACGGCTACTACTAATAATAAAGGGGAGTTTTATTTTATTACTATCTACCCTGGGCGCAATCCTAATAGAGCCTCTGTTAATATACGAGTAGAGCATCGTGACCTTGGGGCTTTGCAAACCCAGCTTTCCTTAACTAAGAAATCGGCTGATCCTAAAAATTGCGAAGAGATTAACTATGCTCTGTCTAGAATTGCAGAAGGATTAACTGCTTATGATTTTGATATTGTAATGCAAGGTAGAACTTTGCGAAGGTATTAATTTTATTTCATAGAACCTGATAAATTAGCTGGAGCTTTGTCAGGAATCTCTAATGGTTTTTTTAGACCGCAAGAAGTTAATAAAAGGCAGAGCAAGAAGAGGATAGGTAGTAAAGTATTATTTTTCATTATCTCTTAAACTTTATTATTATGATCATGCTTATATGGTTACATTATCTATATGAATAATAAGAAGTACAGTAAATATTTAATTTTAATGCTTGTGTGTTTATCTATTACTTATAATAGTATAGCAAACGAAAATATTAGAACTGGGGTTAAGACTCTAGATTTATCTAGTGTTCCTGATTCCGTATTTTTCTTTGATGAGAAAGAAGCAAAACATTCGCTTGATCAGTTTGAGGGCAAGACTATATTATTAGTATTTTGGGCTACTTGGTGCGCTGCTTGTGCGAAGGAAATGCCAGATTTAGACATATTACAAAAAGATTTTAGAAAATTAGCATTTGAAATAATTCCTATCTCTCAAGATTATCAGTCTATAGAAGTAGTACAACAATATTATCAAAATTATGATATAAGATATTTACCTCTCTATCACGACTTTAAAAATCAACTATTTAAAGCTTTTGGAATAGTAGGGTTACCAACTGCCATTCTAATTAATCCTGATGGAAAAAAGCTGGTAAGTTTTGTAGGTTCTATTAATTGGTATGATGATGGAATACGCCAGATTATTTTGTCCCATATTCCAGGAAATCACCGTGAACCTAAAAATAGCTATCAAGAGCAATCGCTAAATCAGCCAGTGAATAGGAATATAAAAAACCAGGAACTACCAGCAAAAAAAGTACAAAAATTGGAAGAAAAATTAGAGATTCAAGCAGATAAAAAGATAGAGATAGAAATGTCCGAAGATAAGCCAGATAATAACCCTAGAAAAAATAATAATATAAAAGATAAGGAGCAGTATAAATGAGCAATAATAAGGCGCGCAATAATAATTCAATTGCTAGTGCTGGATTTGAGAGAGCAATTGTTAAACGTCAGACTGGGAAGCTTGCTCAATTATTTTCTATGCTACCTATAATAGGTTCTAAAAGTTCCCAAATAGTAGCGGTCCTCCATCTTAATGGTATAATAGGTAAAGTCAATGCGGTTAAATTAGGGTTAAATATTGAAACCTTAAATGAGTTAATAGAAAGAGCTTTTGATACCAGAAATCTTGTCGCTATTTGCCTAACTATTAATTCTCCTGGTGGTTCTCCTGTGCAGTCTGATTTAATTGCCAAACGTATTAGAGGGTTGGCGGTGGAAAAGGAAATACCGGTTTATAGTTTTGTAGAGGATGTGGCAGCATCAGGTGGATATTGGCTTGCTTGTATTGGCGATAAAATATACGCTTCTAAAAGCTCAATTATTGGTAGTATAGGGGTCATTTCAGCAGGTTTTGGCTTTCCTACTGCTATCAATAAGTTAGGGATAGAAAGAAGAGTCTATACTGAAGGTAAAAATAAAGCTATCCTTGATCCATTTCAGCCGGTCCAAGAAAAGGATGTCAAAATTATTAAGAATTTACAAAAACAAATACATGAGCATTTTATAGATTATGTGAAAGAACGACGGATTGGTAAATTAACTCAGGAAGATAATATTTTGTTTAACGGAGAATTTTGGTGTGGTCAAACTGCAGTTGATTTTGGATTAATTGACGGTTTAGAGGATATGTATAGTTTCATAAAACAAAAATATGAAGATGCTACTATTAAACATATTACTGCAAAACAATCCTGGATTAAGAAGAGTTTGAGTATAGCTAGACAAAATTTTGCTCATGAATTATCTACTAGCTTGGTAGAATCAGTAGATAACAAAATTAACTATGATATGTATAAGGTGCGATGAATTTTATTGATGAAGCTAAGATATATTTAAAAGCTGGTAACGGCGGTCATGGCGCGGTAAGCTTTCGCCGGGAAAAATATATTGATAATGGAGGACCTGACGGTGGTGATGGCGGTCGTGGTGGTGGTATAATATTGCAAAGTAATGCTCACCTGAATACTTTAGTAAATTTTAGATATAAGCAGCATTTTAAAGCAGAGAATGGTGAAAATGGGAAAGGTGCAAACAGAAGCGGCAAGTCTAGAGCGCCAATAATTTTACAAGTACCAGTGGGAACTCAAATATTTTCCGAGAATGCTGATTTCTTACTATATGATTTTATTGCAGATCAGCAAAGTTTTGAAATACTTAAAGGGGGCAAAGGAGGTCTGGGTAATAGTCATTTTAAGTCATCTATTAACCAAGCTCCACGGCGTAGCACAGAAGGTGAAGTAGGGGAAGAGCTATGGGTCAATTTGCGCTTAAAGCTTATTTCTGATGTTGGCCTTATTGGTTTGCCTAATGCAGGCAAATCTACTTTCTTAGCCTCTACCACTGCTGCCAAACCTAAAATTGCTGATTATCCTTTTACTACCCTAACCCCAAATTTGGGGGTAGTTTACTTAGATAATGAAGAATTTGTGATAGCTGATATTCCTGGCTTAATTGAAGGTGCTTCTCTTGGTCATGGGCTTGGTGACAAGTTCTTAAAACATATTGAAAGATGTAATGTATTAATTCATTTACTAGACGCCACAAGTGAAAATATCCAAGCTAATTATTTAACTATTAGAAATGAATTGAACTCTTACTCAGATTTATTAGAAAAGAAAATAGAAATAATTTGTTTAAATAAGGCTGATGCTTTACTCGAGCAAGAAGCACAAGTGAAGCTTAGCCAATTGCAGGAAGTGGTTAAAGGAGAAATTTTTATAATTTCCTCTTATGCGAAAACTGGCTTAAATACGGTGCTGAAAAAAACACTTGAGACTATAAAAGGGTCTGCCCAATTTGGAGAGTAAAGGCTAAGCTCTAGCAACTTTAGGCTCTGAGTTTTTCATACTATTAAACAGTACTCCGGGAAATTGCATAAATAGACTTGTTCTCTAGAGGATAATGATTTTATTGCTTCAAAATCTGTGTCTTTATATCTTCTGGTAATATTATATTAGTAAGGAGAGTTAATATGTTAATATCAAGGCAATAAGAATTTAATTAATTAACTATATTTTAACTATAAGCTCTCGCTCTGTTGTTTATACCATAAACCTGCATAATGTCCGTTTAATGCTAAAAGCTCTAAATGGGAACCACGCTCAATAATACAGCCATTCTCTATTACTATAATTTCATTAGCATCAATAATAGTAGACAAACGATGAGCTATGATAAGTGTGGTGTGATTAGACGATAATTCTTTTAAACTATCTTGAATAGATTTCTCAGTATTAGTATCCAGAGAAGAAGTCGCTTCATCAAAAATATAGATATAAGGATTTTTTAATATGGTGCGAGCTATAGCAATTCGCTGTTTCTCTCCCCCTGAAAGCTTAAGGCCTCTTTCTCCTACGGTAGTGTTATACCCTTCGGGGAGAGAAGTAATAAATTCGTGTATATGAGCTTTTTTTGAAGCATTTATCACTTCTTCTTGCGTAGCATTGATATTACCATAAGCTATATTATAGTAAATTGTATCATTAAATAATACTGTATCTTGCGGTACAATGCCTATCGCTTGGCGTAAGGAATTTTGAGTAACATCTCTTATATCTTGTCCATCAATGGTAATTTTACCGCTGGTAACATCATAAAATCTGAATATAAGTCTAGAGATCGTGGATTTTCCTGATCCACTATGTCCTACAATAGCTAAAGTGTTACCACTTTCAAGAGTAAAGTTAAGCCCTTTTAAAATTTGTCTATTGGGATTATATGAAAAATTAACATTATCAAAAACAACTTTTGCTTTAGAGATTTCTAGAGTTTCGCTGTCAGGATTTTCAGCTATGTCAGATGGAATATTTAATAAATTAAACATGTCTTCCATATTAATTATAGCACTTTTGATCTCACGGTAAGCAAAACCTAACATATTCAGTAGTATAGATAATTGAATTATGTAAGTATTGACTAAAACAAAATCACCAATGGTCATATTACTAGTTTGAACCTCAAGGCCTGCTAAAAGCATGACGCTAACCAGTCCTAACGCTATAATAATACCTTGGCCAATATTTAAAACAGATAAGGTAGCATAATTTTTTACTGCTGCATCTTCATACCTTATTAAGGATTGATTGAATCTTTCACTTTCATAATTTTCATTACCAAAATACTTTACCGTCTCAAAATTTAATAAGCTATCAAGCGCTTTAGTATTAGACTGATTTTCATTTTCATTCATTCGCCTTACAAAAGCAATACGCCACCTGCTTACCAAGAGAGTAAAGAATACATAGACTATCATAGTAATTAAGGTAATTATAGAAAACCAAAAACCATAGCTAAGCCATAGAATTCCGCATACTAAAAAGATCTCCAAACCAGTAGGAATAATATTAAAAATAGAAAAGCGTAAAATAGCCTCAATCCCCTTCACCCCTCTTTCAATTGATCTGCTGATTCCGCCAGTTTGTCTATTAATGTGAAAGCTTAGACTTAACTGATGCATATGTTCAAATACTTTTAATGCCACTCGTCTCGCTGCGCGTTGTCCAACTCTTGCAAAAATTCCATCTCTAAGTTCAGCAAAGAGTATAGAAAATATTCGTGCTCCTCCATATGCTAATAACATTCCTAAAAATATTGTTGTCGTTAAATGATTCGTTAAGCTATCTATTGTATGTTTATAAGCAATTGGAATAGCTAAACTAATGATTTTAGCAATTATAAGACAAAATACTGACCAAATAACACGAGAGCGAATCTCTACATCTTTAGACCACAAATACGGTAGAAGCAAGTAAAAGAAATTTTTTTTATTAGATTGTAGTGGGCGATTCATATAAGAGATCCTTGGGAGGTAATTCAGTATAAATTAATTTATACTGAATTATATTAATGTAGCTATCTTAATTTTTTAGCAATTTATCTAGCTGGCCTTTCTCGTCCAGCTCATATAGGTCATCACACCCACCAACGGATTTACCATCAATTAATATGTGAGGAAATGTTACTTTCCCCTTGGACGTATTTCCTACTTCTGCTTTTTCTTCTAGAGTAAAGGAATCTACTACTATTTCCTCATAAGCTATGTTTTTTTGTTGTAAGAGGATTTTAGCTTTCGCACACCATGGGCAAGTTGATAATGTATAAATGATAACTGTATGTAAAAGTGCGGTGTTCATATTTTACCCATATATTTATGTTTAATCTCAATTCAGTATACTCTTCGTCTTCTAAGAGTTGTTTTTTCGTTTGTTCAGGAAATAGCGTGCTAACGTATTGATATATACGTTCTGCGCGCTCATCCTTGCCAAATAAAATGAAGGCTCTTTGAAATCCCGTGGGTATAGAATAAGGTATATCGAATTTAAGCTATAATTTATTATAATTTACTAAAAATTCTTCAATTTTATAGTTATAGTTAGTTACTAGGTAGTATATTATCTGTACCAACAATTTTTAGCAAGTTACAAATCAATGGTAAATAAGTTTTTTATTAAATCTAACTATTCTCCAGCTGGTGATCAGCCAAAGGCAATTCAAGAAATTATTCAAGGAATTGCAGCAGGAAATCGTTCTCAAATGTTACTGGGTATTACCGGTTCAGGCAAAACTTTTACTATGGCCAATATAATTTCTTATTTGCAGCGACCTACTCTTATTATGGTACATAATAAGACCTTAGCAGCGCAAATTTACTCAGAAATGAAGGCAATCTTCCCTGACAATGCTGTAGAATATTTTGTCTCATATTATGATTATTATCAGCCAGAAGCATATATTGCTAGAACGGATACATATATAGAAAAAGATTCTTCAATTAATGAACAAATAGATTTATTAAGGCATTCTGCTACTAGATCATTATTAGAACGTCGTGATGTAATAGTAGTATCATCAGTCTCTTGCATTTATGGTCTTGGTTCACCAGAGCTTTATTATCAAATGACTATAACACTTAAAGCTGGAGAGACTTATATTAGAGATAAACTCCTTGGTGATTTAGTAAATTTACAATATGAGCGTAATGATATAGGTTTCGAGCGAGGAACTTTTAGAGTTAAAGGAGATAATATTCATATTTTTTCAGTGCATTATAACGATAAAGCTTGGCGATTATCATTCTTTGGTAATGACCAAGAATATATTAGAGAATTTGATCCTTTGACAGGAGAAAAATTAGTTCAATTAGATAACGCGGTAATTTATGGTAGTTCTCACTTCGTAACTCCAAAAGAAGTAGTGGAAACAGCTATTGTCCAAATAGAAGAAGAATTACAACAACGTTTAGCATGGCTAAATAAACATGATAAATTATTAGAAGCCCAAAGGCTGAATCAGCGTACTCAATATGATATAGAAATGTTGATGGAAACTGGCAGCTGTAAAGGTATTGAGAATTATTCAAGGTTTTTAACAGGTAAAGCTTCTGGGGCGCCACCCCCTACTTTATTTGAATATTTACCTAAAGATGCATTATTATTTGTAGATGAAAGCCACGTAGCTGTGCCGCAAATTAGAGCTATGTATAATGGAGATAGAGCGAGAAAGGAAGCGCTAGTAGAGCATGGTTTTCGCCTTCCTTCAGCGCTAGATAATAGGCCATTAAAATTCGAAGAATGGCAAGTCTTTAGGCCTCAAACAGTTTTTGTTTCAGCTACTCCAGCGCCTTTTGAATTACAAGAAAGCAAAGGACAAGTAGTAGAACAAATTATTAGACCTACCGGGTTACTTGATCCAGAATGTGTTATAAAGCCAGTTACTAAACAAGTGGAAGATTTATTAAGCGAGGTCCAAGCTACTATAGCCCAAGGGTTACGTGTTTTAGTTACAACTCTTACTAAAAAAATGGCAGAAGATTTAACAAATTATCTCCAAGAATTAGGATATAAAGTATCATATTTACATTCTAATGTACATACTTTGGAACGTATAGAAATTATTAGAGATTTACGGCAAGGTAATATTGATATTCTAGTAGGTATTAATCTATTACGTGAAGGCTTAGATATTCCCGAATGTGGGCTTGTTGCTATATTAGATGCAGATAAAGAAGGATTTTTGCGATCAGAAGTTTCCCTAATTCAAACTATTGGAAGGGCTGCCCGCAATAGTCAAGGGAGGGTAGTACTATACGCTGATGTGATTACGAAGTCTATTGAAAAAGCAGTAGGGGAAACACATAGAAGAAGAAAAGTACAACAAGAATATAATCAAAAACATTCTATAATACCCAAAACTATTAATCACAATATTCACGCGTTGGTTGAATTAGAAAAATTCGATAATAAATTAGACAATAAAAAACAAATTCATTCTTTATTAGAGCAGCCAATAAAATTAAAAGCTCATATTAATAAATTAAAAAAGGAAATGAACCGGGCAGCTAGTAACTTAGAATTCGAAGAGGCAGCGAAGTTACGTGATCAAATTAATGTGTTAGAAGAGGCGGCATTAGAATTAGGCTAATTTAACCTGAGTTATCTCAATTCTGGATAAAAATAGTCATTCTTATCCAGAACCCGCGCGCTCATCCTTTAAAATAAAATCCAATTCTTGAAATTAAAAGAGAGGATACTAATTCTACTTAATACCATAAGTCATATAATTTTCATGAGGCTGATAATTTAATAAATATTTAAAACCTATAGCCACGCGTAATATATACCAAATATATAGGCAAGCATAGCAAATAGTATTCAATAACAATATTAGGAATAGGAACGGAAATATAAGCAGCCCTACCCAATGCATACAATTACATATAATAGTGCCTACAAGCCCTATACAAAAAGTACGTAATATAAAAATATAATGACTAGAGAAATTGCTATTTGGAACATCTTTGTTTATATAAGCAAAAATTACACCTACAACTGGTAGTAGTGGAGCTATTATCCCACATAAAAATAATATATAAATTATAATAAGGTTTGTTCTACCAGCTGTAGTATATTTTTTAAGTTCATTGTCCATTTGCGTCCTTTAAATTTTTTACTACTAAATGCATTATACTTCCATGTTGAATATAATTGATCTCATTATCAGTAAAAGCTTGCAACACTACAGAAATAGTGTCAATTATACCACTTTGTCTTTTAATAATACAATTCAGCTGATTATAAGGCTTAATTCCGTTATTCAAGCCTTTAATAGTAATATATTCTGTACCCTTAAGTTGTAAATCCTGCACTGAGCAATTAATGAGTAGCAGGGGTAACACTCCCATACCAACTAAATTTGATCTATGGATTCTTTCAAAACTTTCGGCAATTACTGCTTTTACTCCTAGTAAATTTGTTCCCTTTGCAGCCCAGTCTCTTGATGAACCACATCCATATTCTCTACCTGCAAAAATTACTAAAGGGACTCTATGAAATTTGTAATCCATGGCGGCATCATAAATACTCATTAGCTGATTATTGAGCTGATTTATAGTAACCCCTCCTTCCACTCCACCACATATCATATTCTTAATTCTATTGTTAGAAAAAGTCCCCCGCATCATTACTTCATGATTACCTCGCCTGGAACCATAAGAGTTAAAGTCATTAGGCGCAATTCCATGTTCTATTAAATATTTAGCAGCAGGACCTGTTGCGCTAATACTACCTGCCGGAGAAATATGGTCCGTAGTTACTGAATGTCCAAAAATTGCTAATATCCTTGCTAGCTCTATATCTTGCAAATGATTAGCCGCGGAAGGTAATTCTGGGAAATAAGGGGGGTTATTAATATAGGTACTCTGTGCATCCCATAAGTAAGTATCAGTTTTAACAACTTTAATATTCTGCCATTCTTGATCCCCTATAAACACTTGACTATATTTGTCCTTAAACATTTGAGAAGTGAGAGAGGCCTCAATCGTTTTTTTTATCTCTTCCTGGCTAGGCCAAATGTCATTAAGATATACCCCTTTACCATATTGGTCTTCTCCTAGTTTTTCCTGCTCAAGATTAATGTCAATTGTACCTGCTAAAGCATATGCAACAACCAAAGGAGGAGAAGCTAAATAGCTAGCAATGGTGAAAGGGTGAATTCGCCCTTCAAAATTTCTATTACCTGATAGAATGGAAACAACGACTAATTTATTGGTAGTAATAGTTTGTTCTATCTCCTCCTTAAGCGGACCTGAATTACCTATACAAGTAGTACAACCATATCCTACTAAATTAAAACCTAAAATATCCAAATATTTTTGCAAGCCACTTCTTTCTAAATATTCTGTTACCACTTGGGAACCAGGCGCTAATGAAGTTTTGACCCATGGCTTTTTTATTAAACCAAGCTCTACAGCTTTTTTGGCTACTAACCCAGCGGTAATCATTACATTAGGATTAGAAGTATTAGTACAGCTAGTAATGGCAGCAATCATAATATCTCCATTACCTATAGTAAAATCAGTATTAGCTACAGGATATCTAATATTTAAATTATTATTCTCCGTAGTGAAAGAAGGTAGTTGTTCTCTAAAACTATTAGCAGCATTTAGTAAATTAGTCCTATCTTGGGGGCGTCTTGGGCCGGCAAGAGAAGTTTCTAAAGTAGATAGATCGAGCTCTAATATATCCGTATATTCAGGAATAATTTCTGGGTCACGCCATAGGTGTTGTAATTTACTATATTCCTCTACTAATTTGACTTTATTAGGGTCTCTAGCAGTAAAGTTAAGATATTTGATGGTTTCACTGTCAACCGGGAAAAAACCACATGTGGCGCCAAATTCTGGTGACATATTTGAGATAGTAGCTCTATCTGCTATCGACATAGAATCTAATCCGTTACCATAAAATTCTACAAATTTACCTACAACATTCTTCTTTCTTAACATCTGCGTTATTGTCAGTACTAGATCAGTTGCGGTAATTATTCCTTGCAAAGTGCCAGTTAACTTAACGCCAATTACTTCTGGTAAGATCATTGATAAAGGTTGACCAAGCATAGCCGCTTCTGCCTCAATCCCCCCAACTCCCCAGCCAAGTACAGCTAGCCCATTAATCATAGTGGTATGGCTATCTGTTCCAACTACAGTATCAGGATAAGCAATAGTAGCTCCATTTTCCTGTTTAGTCCATATCACATTTGCTAAATATTCTAAATTCACTTGGTGACAAATTCCTGTTCCAGGAGGCACGACTTTAAAATTATTAAATGCCGCCTGTCCCCATTTTAGAAATTTATAACGCTCTATATTTCGTTGTACTTCCATTTTAACATTTTTAGCAAAAGAATCTGCTGCTCCATAATAATCCACCTGAACTGAATGGTCGATCACCAAATCAACCGGAATTAAAGGATTAATTTTTAAGGGGTCCCGTAATTGTTTTTTCATAGCATCACGCATAGCAGCTAAATCCACGATAGCAGGGACGCCAGTAAAATCTTGCATTAGTACTCTAGCCGGCATAAAGGGGATTTCAGAATCAGACTTTTTATTCTTGAGCCAGTTCTTAAATAATAATAGGCTGTCTGTACTACCATTTAGACGAAGCACATTCTCAAATAATATCCTTAAACTATACGGCAAGCGCTTTAACTCAAGTTGAATATCATTTGCTGCTTTATTGATATCGCAAATTCTATAAGATCTACCACTGACTATTATTTCTTTAACATAATTAGTATTATTCACCATTCACTCCATAATTGTTCTTAGCCAGAATTGAGAGGTTTTATCATAAAATTAAAACTCTATTTTACCCTTAAACCTTATCAAACTTAAAAAATTGCTTTATCCATTATTTAAGCTTTTACTTTATATCCATAACTAAATTAACTTAACTTGAAAAAATATATATTTAAAGTAAATTGTATTAAAACTTTATTAGTGTTCTGTCAATGTTGTCATTTGAGCAACTAACCTTTGATATAGGGACAAAGAATTGTTTCTCTACAATTAGCATGACATTATTGCCTTGTTCCATCGTGTACTTACAGGGCTCTAATGGTTGTGGCAAAACTTCCTTACTAAGGATGATAGCTGGAATACAAAATCCAACAAAGGGAAAGATATTATACCGATCATTAGAATGTGAAGAAATTAAAAAACCATATTGCAATTATATTGGCCATAATATTGGTTTAAAATCCGAAATAACTATATTAGAATATTTAAAATTTTGGAGTAAAATCTATGACTCTATTGAGTTACTTGAACCTGCAATATATTATTTTAAATTACATCATCTTTTACACGAAAAATGTTATAAACTTTCTGCGGGCAATCAAAAAAAAATTGCCTTAGCCAAACTAATGGCCTGTCAAACAGATTTGTGGTTATTAGATGAAATAGAAGCAAATCTTGATCAAGAAAATAAAGAATTATTATATAATTTAATCACCTCCAAAGCTAATAATGGAGGGATTATTATATTGACCTCTCATGCCTCTCCTCTTATTAACACCGCTCAGGTAATTAATCTTGAAGAGTATAGTGCAAATTTTTCCCCTTTGTAATAAAAAGTTACAAGAAAGTTAACAAGAATGGTATTAGATATTTATAGGTAAAATAACTCAGTGTTAAACCCAAGACTGTACCGATTATTATCACCCGATATTTAGAAGGTACAATAATAGTAATAATAATCAATCCTATTATCCCTACTCTTTCCCACTCTGCTATACTATAATCTTGCAGATCAAAAGCTAAAGCATCAAACGTATATACTATAAATATTAATAAGAGCCCTATAAAATATCTATGTTTAGGTTTTCCTAAGTTCCGCAACACCTTACACCTCTATTGGCCCTGAAGTGAGTCCATTAACAAACTGCTGTAAATATGGATTATCGCTATTTTTTATTTCATCTTTAGTACCAAACCATAAAATCTTCCCTTGGTAAAGCATGGTAACTTCTTTAGCTATCATATAAGCGCTATTCATATCGTGAGTTATAGTAATGGTAGTGACGTTGAGTTCTTCTTGTATTTTAATTATTAATTCATTAATAACATTCGCCATTATCGGATCAAGTCCAGTAGTAGGTTCATCTAGGAAAAGAATCGAAGGGTTACTACAAATAGCTCTAGCTAAAGATACTCTTTTCTGCATCCCCCCTGAAAGTTCTGAAGGATAAAGTTTTAATATCCTCGGTGATAAGCCTACAGCTTTAAGTTTAGAAGCAGCTAGCTCTTCGCTATCTTTTCTAGATAGCTTGAATAATCTTTCAGCAAAAAAAGTAATATTATCTTGTACTGTTAGAGAATCAAAAAGTGCTCCTCCTTGAAATAAGAACCCTATAGTTTCCATAATTTTAAACCTATCTTTCCCTGACAGATCTATAGTCTCCATTTCATCAATAATTATACTACCATTATCAGGTCTTATTAAGCCTACTATTGTTTTGATTAGAACTGATTTTCCACTACCAGAGCCCCCTAAAATCACCGTTGAACTATTTTCTTTGATATCCAAATCTACTCCAGCAAGCACTTGATGATTTCCAAAAGCTTTATATAATGAACGTATTTTGATTTTTGGTTTTTCATCACGCATAATTAATTCTTATAAAATTATATTTAAATCACTTAACTATCAATGACTAAAAAAATAAAGCTGTCAACAAATAGTTGCTACACAAAATAAGTACCGAAGAACTGACCACTGTTTCAGTAGTCGCAGTTCCTACCCCTTTTGCTCCCTTCTCTGCATAATAACCACTATAACAGCTAATTATTGCAATGATAAAGCCAAATACTGCAGCTTTTATTAACCCTGAAATCACATCTATTGTCTCCAAAAACTTAAAGGTATTTACTAAATATCCAGAACTATTAAAATCTAATTTATAAACACTGACTAAATATCCTCCCAGCACCCCCAGTACATCCCCTATTAACACTAAACAGGGTAGAGTAACCACTGCAGCTACTACCCTTGGAAACACTAAATATTGCAACGGATCTGTGGACAGCGTGTAGAGAGCGTCTATTTGCTCGGTTACTCTCATAGTAGCTACTTCAGCTGCAATTGAGGCCCCCACTCTTCCGGCTACCATAAGGCCAGCAAGCACTGGTCCAAGTTCACGAGTGATAGAAAGAACTACCACAGTAGCTATCGAGCCTTCAGCAGAAAACCGCGAAAATCCTGTGTAGCTCTGTAAAGCTAGGACAGCTCCAGAAAAAACAGTAGTCATCGCTACTACTGGTAGAGAAAAGAACCCAATAAAGAGCAGCTGTTTTAAAATTAAACCATAATATATAGGTCGCTTAAAAACAGTAGTAATTACTAAAAAGGTGAATATAGAAAAATTCCCTATATTCTTGGCAAATGCTAAGGTACGTTTACCCAATAAATTAACTATATTAAGAATCATTTTTATAAACTTTTTTATATCTATTACCCATCATGGTTAATACTTCATAACCAATGGTATTGATTATATTGGCAATTTGATCTGGTGTACAATTATTCCCTATAATTTCTACTTGTTGTCCTAGAAAAAATTTTTCTGGTGGTAGATCAGTGACATCAATAGTAATTAAATCCATTGAAATTCTACCCACCACAGGAGCCCTATAGGAATCAATAAATACTTCTCCATAATTGCTAAGAGCGCGAGAATAACCATCAGCATATCCAAGAGGCAGGGTAGCAATTATACTATTACGATCTGTTTTGAAAGTCATATTATAACCGATATAATCTTCTGCTGATAATTCTTGTAGCTGGATTATTGGTGCTGTTAATCTCACAGGGTTATGTAGCGGGTTGTTTAGTAGGGCCCCTGACGGGTTAATACCATATAGTGCTGCTCCAATGCGTATTAGGTCAAAATGATATTCTTCTCCTAAAAATACACAACTAGAATTAGATAAGCTAGCCTTAATTTTTGGAAAAAAACTTAAATAATATTTGAATTTTTCTAACTGTTGGTAGTTATAAGGGTTCTCCGCCATTTCAGAAGCAGATAAATGACTAATAATATACTGTAATGCGAGCCCATCTAATAACCGAGGATTATTTATTATATCCTTGACTTCTTTATCTGTCATACCTAGCCTATTCATCCCAGTATTGATATGTACAGCACAAGGGAGCAAATTACGACTTAAACATGCTTCGTTATTATACATAGCAAATTTTTGCCAAATTTCTAGCTGCTGTATATTGTTAAGCACTGGGATCAAGTTATAGTGCTTAAAATACTCTATTTCCTCATAAAACACTCCATTAAGTACAAAAATATTCGATTCTTTAGCTAAAACTTTACGTAACGAAATAGCCTCCTCAATGTTAGCAACAAAAAAATTTTTACAGTTTTCTTGCTGTAGAGCAGGAGCGACAATATTTGCGCCTAGCCCATAGCTATTAGCCTTAACTACTGCAGCTACTTCTGCGGTTTTACATAATTTAGTTATAATACGATAATTAGCTCGAATTTTTGCTAAATCTATTTCAAGAGTGCAATGAGCAGTACGCATAAATATTTCCTTTACCTTACTTAACTGCTTTCAAGAGTTGTTTTTTCATTTTTCAGGGATTTGCACGCTCACGTACTGACATACTCTGCGCGCTCACCGCTGCTAAATAAAATGAGAGCTCTTGAAATCCATTGAGTATAGTTAATTCGCAATAAAATTAGGAGTTTTGAAATACGAGCAGTATATACAGAAATAATCAATTCTGAAAAGAAAATTTTATTTTTCTAATGCAGTAACTAACAGAGGAAGTATAGAGAGTACTTGAAACTTGGGGCTTAAACCTGAGATTGCTATTGTATCAGTGATATATATGTTTGTTATATGAGAATTCTCAATATCTTCCTGTGAAGATCCAGAAAGCACAGGGTGAGTAATAAAAGCATCCACAGACAACGCTCCGCATTCCATTAGTAATTTTGCGCCCTTACAAATCGTCTGCCCACTATCTACAATATCATCAATTAATATACAATGTTTTCCCTCAACGTTACCTAGTACCCCTGACATATGGTATTCGTTATTTACAGTTCTACTTTTATTGACAACCGCTATCTCCATATTACACAGATTGCTCAAAGCTCTTGCTTGAGCAATGCCTCCAATATCCGGACTGACTATAATAGTATTAGGCCAGTTACCTAATACTACTCGAGAAGATAATTTATATGTACGTCTACTCTGCGCCTTAGCTAAGTATTCTGCAGTGCTGAACTCCGGATCTTGTTCAAATTCCTTGCTCGATGTGAGCTTCGAAAGAGGTCTACTAATTAGAGGAAAAAATAAGGGATGGACATTGGGGCGAAGAACATGGGGGATTACTTACTCTTACGCCCAGTTACTATAGGGTATAAACATCTAACTAATGCTTATACTAAAGCTAGAGTAAGTAGTTTTATAGATAATATTAGTACTCCTGTAACAATAGTTAATTATGGCTTGCAAGGAAATTATACACAAACCATGAAAAGTGTCTGGAGATTCCTTATTAATACTACGTTTGGAATAGGCGGTTTATTTGATGTAGCAAGTAAAATGGGTTTAACAGTAACGCCCCAATCCTTTGGTAGCACTCTTGCTAATTATGGGGTAGGGCCTGGACCATATTTAGTGTTACCATTTTTGGGAGGGACTAATGCCAGGGACATTACTGATTCTGTATTTACAAATACTTATTTTAATCCTATAATGCATATGGTACATAGAGATTTCAGGGTAGCAGTATTTGGTGCTCAAACTATCGATACTAGGTTGGCGTTATTACCTTTTACTGATTATGTGGCACAAAACTCCACTGATCCATATATTGCGATAAAATCAGCAACCCATCAAAATCGTGAGTCTGTGCTTTTTTACCCTAAACAATTTATTTGTCCTAAATAAAAGGTAGAAGTTATGAGAAAAATTACTCTATATTTAATATTTTTATGTTCTATACCTGCCTTAGTTTATGCTGCTGATATCGTAGATAAATATGTCGATCAATTAGTAAAAGATGGCTTAACTATACTAAATGATAATACTATAAGTCAGGAGACAAAAGTTACTAAAACTAAAAAGTTAATTTTAGCTAACCTGGATCTTCCTTGGATGGCTAAGGTTACTCTTGGAGGCTATAGGAAAACCCTCACTCCTGAACAAGTTAGTAAATTTACAGAAGCATATAGTCATTATGTTAGCAAAGCCTATGCTAGTTTGGTAAAAAATTATCATGGTCAAGAACCTAAAATTCTGGAAGTAAATTCAGTTTCTAAGGGAGAATTTATGGTGTCAATGTTAATAGAGACTATTAAAGGGCCTATTAAAGTAAAGTATTTAGTACGTAAAGTTAATGAGACTGATAGTCACGCTAACTTTAAAGTATCAGATATTATTACTGAAGGTATAAGCCTTATCCTTTCTCAAGAATCAGAATTTACGAGCATTCTAAGTTGTAGAGGTTTTGACGCTTTAATCGAAGAGTTAACCAAAAAATCTTAACCTCCTTAACATGAAAATTCTAGCGGGGCTTAGTCATAAAAATTTAGCACAATCCTTAGCTAAGGAACTGAATTGTCAATATATAGAAGCCCATACTACTATTTTTGATGA